AGGGAGTCTTCGTCTTCAAACTCCCAGTGAAATATAGGGTTAATATTAGCAATTATTATTAAAATTAGCCCAATGTTATTAAATGATCTTTGCATAGAAGAATAAGTATAGTTTTCCCTTTGGCAGACAGTGACATCTGCAGCTCTACATTTTCATGAAATGACTATACTTAACAAAAACATTACTTCATTTTCATGGTATTTCTTTTGTGCCTAGGAGCAACCCTGTAATTGTTCACTTCAATTACAACATTACTATTTTAAACTGAAACCCATTTTATCTGCATGCCAGCTTTTTATTTGTTTTACCAACTATATCTATTTCCATTACTGCAAGGCTGATGGTTTGTCTCGAGAGGAAATCAAATCCATTAATTCAGAAATTTCAAGCCCGACTAGCTCTGCCATAAGCAGCATTTCTTATGCTAATAGCAAATGTGCTGAGGCTGAAAGAAACTGACATGGCCCTGTTTTTTATCATAACTTAAGCATTTATGTAAGAAGGCAAATCTAATAGTACTAGGAAACTGTAAGTGTTATTATATATAATTCACTTTCCTGAGATCTGGACAGGGCTCTGGTTTGTGTAGCCATGGTTTAAATCAAGTTGCCACGAGACTTTAACTCACCTGACTTTTCCTATTTAGCCAACATATTGCTTCACAACAGATACATCCAGCATGGAACTAGATTTGTGGTTTGGTTTTTTTGTTTTGTTTTATTCTCAACTTTCTTTTTTCCTCCCTGACTTTTGTCAATGCAGAAAAAAAAAAAATTCATTTGTATTCAGGTGATGCCTAAAACATATCCCTGTAACAGCCCCAGCCTGAGACAAACCCGGCCCCATTCCGCTTCATTTTTAATGCACGCTGTTTGGGTCCTATCACATGGTTTGTGTTCAATTAGATAGTTTGACTCGATAAAATCTGACTGTGACCCAGAAAAAAAAAAAGAGAGAGATTGCTCCTGACTCCCGCATAAGCTTTTGCAGGCGCTGTGACCTGTTTATGTCACCAGTAAAGTGTATGAGATTCCTATCACAGAACCACATCATCTTCTGGGATCTAAAAAAGTACAGAAAGCTCTCAAGGACCCTGGCCCTCCTTTGTCACCGCAAAGCCCGCCCGTGCTATAAATCAGTCCTCATTGGGAGCTCTTATATACCAGCCGTCACCGATAAGCTTTGGAGAAGTAGACAAGGCTTTTAGGAATTGCTGAACCATGAAGTTGACCTGCTTAGGGTTTTGTGGTAGGCTATTAAATCCAGGATGGCCGTTTTAAGATGATTCCGCTTTCTTCTTCCCTTGGTCTGGTTAAGGAACTTCACCCCCAGCTCATTATTTGGCTGATTTCAAAAAAAAAAAAGAGAGAGAGAGAATGGAGCAACCTGCTCTCTGAGAATGCTACCTTCACGCAGCAATTTAATGAGAATGACTTAGGCTGGCGTAGTTTACGGGCCCAAACATCTTAACGCCGATTTTGCAGCTAAGAAGAGATTTACTAACTGTACATACCGCTCTGCTTTTGTTGGCATGAGCGCCACGATTCTTTTCTCCAAAAAAACCGAACTCAAACTCTTTTGTAAACACGCGTTATTTGGTTAACACATTGTAAATGGATCCCAGTTGTGCTGCGCGAGCGCTCTTCACCGTTATGTAAACAATTATTCACTGAAAGGCTTGCTTTAAATTGTCAATGAATATATTTCAGCTGTAATGTTGCTTTCAGACCTGCCCAGTGGTATAAATCTGGTCATTTGTTTTTTGCACTCTGCCTATTACTAACCAGTTAGAAATGTGCTGATTATTTGCACAAGCCTTTCACACTGCGAACGCAGTTAAATTGCTGTTTTATTTTTCCTGTGTTTGATGAGTGTTAACAAGAGCGCCATTTGAGGAAATCCAAACCAAATACAGCTCTTTAATTGGGGTTGGGGGTGTTTGGGAAAAGCCACCCGGTGAGTAATTCCGCTGTTTAATGTGTGAGGAGTTCGCCCACCCCACCATAGGACTTACGGCAAGATTAATTAAAGGGGGTTGACAAAAATTCACTTGCCTTGCTCAAGCCACAGGAATGGCTGGAAATATGGTGCATCCGGTTACAGGGGAGCAGATTACGTGGTGAGGTAGCTCATTCCCAGCTCCCTTTTTTAGACTTCTGCCAGAGCCAAACAGCTCCATGTTTGGATAAGGCAGTTTTACATTCTGTATCCCTCAAAGGAAGCACAGTTCAGAAAGAAAATGATGTAGCACTCTCCCTGGGCACGTGACTTGCCTTCGCAAAGTCAGCCCCGGGCTGATTAAAGTTCCAGCTGACTCAGAGAGCTTTGTCTCCTTTTTCTTTTTCCTAAACAGTTATTTGCTTTTTATGGTTTTCCCTCCCCTCACAGTTTAATGGAGCTTCCGTAATGTGCTGATCTGCAAAGCTTTGGAGCTAGACATATTATGACCTCAGGTGGTCTTGTTGGTGTGAACCAGAGTTAAGTGTTGTAGCTTTATCTCGCTCTGTTGCTAGAACTACAAAACTGCATTGCCTTAGATAGCACTGACCTTAGATCAAGCCTGGGATAATGGAAAACGCCCCAGGTTCTAGCCCTGGATTTGTCCCCGACGAGCTCAGTGATTCTGGACACTTCATTTAACCTCTGGGAGCCTTGTCTGTGACTTGGCAGCGTGAGGCAGCATGACCATCATTGTTCTCCCGAAACTGAAATTCTGGGATGCGTGTGGTACATAATTCTAGCTGCTTGTTTGCATTTATAAATAAATACAGGGTGTTTAGTTGATAAAAGTAGGAGGCTCTTTATTTCCATTTTGGATATGAAAAAGGAAACCTGTGGTTTCCTTGTTAACTGCCAATTCTGTAGAGTTAATGTAGATTAGGTACACTTTCTTCAGTGACTATTCTTTGCAGCCATAAATGACTGTATTATCATTGAGCAGACCACATAAGTCCTACGATT